AACACAGGGAGGGTGGAGGGAGTGAGTAGAACACATAGGGGGAGGTGAGGAGAACACATGGGGGGGGAGTGAGAAGAACACAGGGAGGAAGGGGGCTGAAAAGAATACCGGAGCTTTGGGTGGGGGGGAGATGAGAAGAGCACAGGGAGGGTGGGTGGGTGTGAGAAGTGACTGCTAGGGTGGGGGGGCGGAGAGACCACTAAGGGGCAGGGGAGAGCTCTATAGGACAGGGGGCAGAACAGGGAGTTCTTTCACACTACGCGCACACACACACAATGCATCCCTATACATACACAAACACACAATGCATCCCTACACACACAGAAACACAACATGCTTCCCTTACACACAGAGAAACACACAATGCATCCATTACACACAAAGACAATGCATCCTTTGCACACATACATAGAAACACACAATGCAAACCCTTACACACACATGCAAACACACACACTGCTTCTCTTACATATACACAGAAACACAATGCATTTCATACACACACTCAATGCAAACACTTACAGACACACACCTTGCATCCCTTATGCATACAAACACAGATTCACACAATACATCGCTTATACACAAACACACACTGCCTCCACTACAAATACACTGCATCACCTACACAAACTGGTATCCCTATACACTACATACCATAAGCACACACATTAGATCCTCTTCAATAACACATCCCCTACACACTCCACTCCCTGTGAGCGAACTCATGGGTGGAACTTTAAGGTGGGCCTTATGGGCATACTCACCGTCAGGCCCTGGGACCGAGACCTGTTTAAGGGGCCCCAAAAAAATGGAGCTGCTTCCCATTCTACTAGAACTTTGAATTTTGTGACCACAGTTACAAACAGCCTTCAGACAGCCTGTTCTACACCAGACCAGTGGAGCCAAACTGCAGCCCATCATCATCCTCATCTGGTTCTAAGTAGGCAATCTAGTATATTATTAATGACACTAATCTATAATTTACCTCACATTAAAGGGACACTATAGTCCCCAGAACCACTTCAGCTTAATGAAGTGGTTCTGGTGTCTATAGCCGGTCCCTGCAGGCTTTTTAATGTAAACACACACTGTGTGCAGCTTTGGCATTAGTTCACATGGCAGATCATATAGGTGGGGCACTGTGTGCAGCTTTGGCATTAGTTCACATGGCAGATCATATAGGTGGGGCATTGTGATGTCACATGGGGGGGGCGGCAAATTTTTCATTTGCCTAGGGCAGCAAAAATCCTTGCACCGGCTCTGATCCTGGGCAGGTGCACCAGTCTACTGGTGACCCACAGCAGGGGAGTGCACTGATTGCACTGCACTCTCCTCCTGCCCAGACCTGTCTTTACCGCAGTGCAAGTGCCCTCTGCCCCTAATTTACAGTGGCTCACACTCACAGCAAACAGTGCCTGGAGCCCTTTGCAGCGACGGGAACAAAGAGGTTCTGCGGCAGCTGGCCGTCCTGCAAGCATTACATTAAACAGCTGTTCCCCATGCAGCCACAGGTGGAGCTGTGCTGGGAGAATGTGATTACACTTCACTTCCTCCCAGCCTACAGTGCAGCGCATGGGAGAGAGAGAGGAGGAGGCATGATTTAATCTTACAACAAATCCACTAAGTATATCTTATTAAATTTGGGGGGATCAGCTCTGTTTTCACAGTTTATTGGTGTTTACTCTGATGTCTGTATTAATATTGAGGGATTTCTAAGTAGTAACATCAGTATGTGTCAGCAGGGCCAGCCGTTGAGGTGTGCAAGCTGTGCGGTCACGCAGGGTGCCATGACAACAGAGGCGCCCGGCGGCCAACACAGCTCACAAATTGGGGACACCAGCATTTTCAATTTAAACGATTCGCTGGTGGTCCACTGGTGCGCACCAGCAGTAGGTGCAGTCAGATTATATCCTCTCCCTCATGGTTCCGGCGCTCAGTTAGTGAGTCAGAGCACAGGCTCAGAGATTCTCAGCTTGCGCTCTGACAACATTGAAAGTCAGAGCCGTGAAGGAGCAGGTCGGGCAAAGAGCTACTGATTAGCATAACATCAATATCCGTTATAAAACCAGGAAAAGGTGGGCATGGATTGTGAACTGATTTGGTGGTGCAATGGGCCACTTGACTGGTTTTGCCCCCAGGTCTAAGGCTGCCAGCCCTCCCCTGCTAGTTACCCCTATACTATATGAAAATCCAGCGCACTCCCTTATCTACTAAACAGCTACTTTGGTGCTGACATTATTTTTTGCCTAGATTAGGTGTTTTTAATAAAACTAGTAAAATCTGTCAGCACCAAAGTAGCTGTTTAGTAGATAAAGGAGTGCGCTGGATTTTCATTTTTACAGGAGGAATCATATGCTTCCCCATAACTGCTAAAATACTTTTACAAATATGTAACTGCTTTTTTAGCATTTTTTATCCTTTTGCAATAATATAAAATGATGTGCATCATTAATTGTTTTTTTATTGTAGTCATAATCATTGTTTTCTTTTATTAATCATTGTTATTTTAAATTTCCCAATGCAATAACCAAAACAGAATGTGAATGCTTTCCAATTACTTTGAGTGTAATTTTTCAATATTGTAAGCTCGTTTGAGCAGGGTCCTCATCAACCTATTGTTGACGTAACGATTTGTAATTGTCTTATTTATTGATAAATGTCCCCCTTAATAATATTGTAATGCTCAAACCCATCAAGCTAGACTGTTGTTTTACTCTTTCCTTATTAATTCTCTTGACTTTCTAGATTTGCAACAAAATGATAAAGACAAATAGGAAATCACTCACAAAGACAAGACAATATATTACTATAACTGTCAGACTCTAAAGATAAAAGTAAAACCGCAATACCGAATAAAACACTTCTTAACAATTAGCTAAGATTTTGGTGATAACAGGCAAGTTTTACATTTTTTAAAGTCTGACCATGCACCTGGATTTAACACACCTCCCTGCAATCAGTTATTTTATTTTAGAATTCTTTGAAATTAATATATTAATATAGAGGACTGTGTTCCCATGTAACCAATTATTATTTAGTTGATCAGTATATTTTAGAGTAAAGGTTGGTTTAGGACATGCTAAACAAAGGGTAATTGGATTTCCCAACCTGTCTATATTATGGCCATAAAGTGTGACTAAAACCACATATATTTTTGGAAAGGTGTTTTTATATAGACGTTTAGATGTAAAGCTTCAACTTGTTTATTGTGGAGTTTATTAATACTCCCCTTGGTATTGTGTAATAATTTAGGTCATCTCATCAGCATTTGCTGACATCTTTGGTTGTTTACTTATATTTATAAAAAAAGGTTTTAATTAGCTTGACATTATGACATTGAGCAAGATACGCCTCAGGTAAGAGTCTATCCTTATTTGCCAAACGTACCTATTGCGGGGAGACTATCTAATTTTTTTATTTTCCCTCTGTGGGAGGCCATCACCAGGGATCTGGGGATTCTGCAGACTGTGTCCGGTTCGGGATCGATTTTGTCGAACCTCCGAGGCAGGTCACTGCTCCGCAGCGGATACACATGGACAAAGAGGCGTCATATCTGGTGCATTCAGAAATGTTATCTCTGCTGGACAAGGGTTACAGTGGAGAGGGTCACAGGCCCACCTTGCTTCTTGAGCAATATCTTCCTTGTAAGGAAGAAGACAGGGGACGTCTGCCCCGTTATCAATCTGTATGCCCGCAACGCATATGTCATCTACCGTCATTTCAAGATGGAGGGCATCCATCTCCTCAGATATCTGCTCTGCGAGGGCGATTGGTTCTCTCCAGTGGATCTGAAGGATGCCTACCTCATGGTCCTAATCCATCACAAGGACACACCTGGCAAGACCACATCTGGCAGTTCATGTGCCTTCCATTCGGCCTCAGCTCTGCCCCTTGGTGCTTCACCAAGTTGTTGAAGCCAGCCATGGCAACCCCGAGAGCCAGGGGGATAAGGATGATCATCTACCTGGATGATATTCATTTGATGGCACAGGATCCCGCCGGCTTCAGGACATGGGGTTTGTCATCAACGGGGAAAAATTGGAACTGACTCCTTCTCGGTCAGTCCAGTTTCTGGGTTTCATCGTGGATTCGTTTCAGGTGGTGCTCCGGCTTCCGATGTCCAATGGTGACCTCCATCAGGAAAGATATCAGACGCCTGCTCAGCAACCCGCGGGTAACACTAAGGGATCTGGCCCGGACGATAGGCCTGCTGTCATCCTCCAATTAAGCCATCTTTCCAGGACCCCTGCACAATTGGGCCCTCCAACTCCTGAAGGCTCGCTATCTCAGGTTGAGGCCGCGTATGACCGAGTCGTGTGGCTTTCAGACTAAGCCATCTGGAATTTCATTGGTGGCTTCCACATATGGAGGCCTGGAACGGTAAGGTGATTTTCGGATCTCAACCGGACTTCGTCCTGGAATCAGACGCCAGCTGTATGGGCTGGTGCGCTACTTGCGATGTCGTGGCGACAGGGGGACTCTGGAATCCAGAGTTCAACTGACTGGAACTAATTGCAGGATCGTTCACTATTCGCAGTTTCACGAAGGGGAAAAGTCACTGCTCGCTGCTTTTCCGCATGGACAACATCTCTGCTGTCCGCTACATAAACCGGTTGGGAGATTTCCGATCCAAACTGCTGTCGGATCGCATGAAAGATCTCTATCAATACCACCTGGACAAGAACTTGTCACTTGTGGCGGAATATCTCCCGGGACAGGACAATCAAGTAGCAGACTGGTTCTCCCGACACTGGAGAGATGCGAGTGATT